CTGAAGTGTCCATCGATAGATAAAGAAAGAAAAGGTGCTACATATATACAGTGGACTATTGTTGTGGTTAAGTGCCATTGAGTTGTTTCCAACTCATAGGGACACCATATAGTGTTTCCAAGGAGTGGCTGGTGGGTTTGAACCACTGACTTTGCAGTTCAAATTGATTTTGTGGTCCAGTGCATTATCCTGCAGTGCCACACCAGGACTCCAAGCAATGGAATATACTCAGCCTTAAAGAGAAACAAAGTCCTAATACATGTAGTCACTTGGAAACATGATGATGAATAAGACAAGTTAGTCACAAAAGGACAGATACTGTGTGGTCCCATTTATATGAAATAGGCAAATGTAGAGAACCCACAGCTTATTAGTGGTAGCCAGGTTGAGAGAGAAAGGATAATTGAGAATTGTTACTTAGGGAGCCCTGGGTTTCTGTGAATGGTTGTAGAATAATTTGGAAGGGAATAGTAGGAATGATTGCATTACATGATTAATGTGATAAATGTCATTGACTTATATATGTAAAAAGTGAGTTAACAAATGTTCTGTTTTGTTTTTACTATAATTTTTAATTTATTGTGGTTTAGATGAAAGTTTACAGAGCAAATTAGTTTTTCATTCAACAATTTATATATATTTTGTTTCATGACATTAATTGCAATCTCCGCAACATAAAACAGCATGCTTTCCACTCCCTCCCTTTTCCACTCACCATCTTTCCTGCCTTCTGAACTTGGTTTTGGGCTGATGTTTCCCATTTAGTGCCATATGGGTGGTTGCTCTGAACAGCATGGTTACTATAATTTTTTAAAAGGGAAAAAAAATTATAGGAATGAATTCAGCCTGGTTAATTTGGAGAAGGGCTTACACAGACAGTATATATAAACTGGGTTCTGAAGGACAAATGGCTATTTTCCAGCAGAAGAAGAGGAGAGAGTATAGATTAGAAGCAGACACATGGAGGCCTAGAAGTACATGGTGTTTTGGAGAATGGTGTGCAGTGAACTTAAAACACCTGAAGAGAGTGGAGCAGGAAAGGCTAAAATTAAACCTTGGAAAGGATTTTAACAGATTGTGCTCCACAGAGGTCTTTGTATCTCATCTTCTATGCCAAGGAGCAGAAATAGGATTCATCTCACATGGCAACTCCACAGCAAGGAACAAGTTTAGAAGGAGATTCTGAGTCCAGGAATGAGCCTTGATCGATGCTCAGAGTCTGCTCTGAGCTCAGAGGGATTAATATCTGCTCTAATTAATGGGGAAATGTAGCTCTAAGACTTGTATTTGACCTCAGATGATGGCTACAGCTAAGATAGGGTGTGTAAATAAACTGTTCTTGTTGTTAAGTACCGTGGAGTCGGTTCCGACTCATAGTGACCCTGCACAGGGTTTCCAAGGCTGTAAATCTTTACGGGAGCAGAAAGCCTCATCTTGCTCCTGTGGAACAGCTAGTAGTATTTATTTTTGTTTGTTTTTCGAGTTTTATCATTAGAAGAAATATCCTTGTAGAGTGTAAATAAAATCCCGATTCATAACCACTACGCTACCAGAGCTCCTTGTAAATAAACTAAGAGCTGCAAAACCTTGGTCTAGAGTAAAGTAAGACGATTAACATAGGCTCTGGAATCCCACAGACTGAGATTGAATCTTTTCCTCCACCAGTGTGGCCTGAGGAAAATGACCAGACCGCCTGAAATCTCAATTTTTGCATGTGCAAAATGGGGACAACAATATATTAGTTGGACTCCTGGTGTGATGCTGCAGGATAATAACTTTCATTTATGTTGTCAAATATTATTATTAAATACTGCACTGCAAGGTCAGTTTGAACCTCAAGGTCGGTGGTTCAAACCCACCTGGTTCAAACCTGATGAGTTTGAACCACTGACCTTGCAGCTCAAACCGGCCTTGCAGTCCAATCCTGAATAATAATATCTCTCAACATAAATGAAAGTTATTACAGCAATAGCTGCTGTCAGTCTACATTGTCTGATGCATATCATTGAGTAGCACTTCCTTTTGTTTTGTTTTTTAAGTTTTATCATTAGAAGAAATATCCTTGTAGAGTGTAAACAAACTCAGTATTTTCTCTTACAAATTACATGTTGGAATCATTCTTAAGATGCTGGGTGAGTAGAGTTGATCTTCCAGTAGAGACTCTAGGCAGAAATATATGCAAAGAAAGTTATACTCAGAATCTCTAGATGGGAGTAACCCATCTCTTCCCATGAGCCTCATGTACTTTGCACAGTAGTTATTTGTTTGGGTTTTATGATGGCTAGAACAATGATGCTTGGTAATCCCTTAATTAAATGTACTCACTACAAAAACTGCATATTTGGGGAGAATGGATTTATAAGGTCCATGACAATTATATTAGCACAAATAAAGATCTGGAGAGATGGTGGTGGTGGAGGTTATGTGCTGTGGAGTCGAAACCGACTCACAGTGACCCTATACAGGGTTTTCGAGGCTGTAAATCTTTACAGGAGCAGAAAGCCTCATCTTTCTCCTGCGGAACAACTGGTAGTTTAGAACTGCTGACCTTAAGGTTCACAGCTCGATTCATAACCACTATGCTACCAGAGCTCCCTGGAGAGATTGTAGGCAAGGCACAAAAGAGAACATCTTGGTGTACTTAAGGCTGAAAAGACTTTTAACGTTAGCTCATCAATCTAGTTTCTCAAATGATTAGTTAATGTTTTTATTACCTCTAGTTGGTATCTCATGTGCTTATGTTTTTCCCTTCTAATGTCTGTTAACCTCTTAAAGTTTATAGTACTGTGTTAAATTATATCCAGTGGCCAATAAATTATTATTAGAGTTTTTCTTTCTTATTAATAGATCTCCTTTGTGAGTATTCAATTATGGGTGTCCTGGTGTGGCGCTGTGGGTTAATGCGCTGGACTACAAAGTCGGTTTGAACTGCAAGCTCAGTGGTTCAAGCTCACCAGCTGCTCTTCAGAAACCCTATACAGGGTCACTATGGATCAGAACTGACTCAACAGCACTTAACAACAACAACAACATAGAACTGAAAACCACAAGTCAAAGAAATTTGGGCTGGGCTTTTATAAGAACTGACCTATAGAAGAATCCTGATCAAAGTGGGGGAATGTAGAACAGCATTTCAAATTTCCATGGACTCTAGACTTTCTGGAGCCGTGGAGGCTGGATGAATCCCTGAAACTATTGTCCTGAGGTAATCCTTAAAATTTAGAGCAAAAATATCCCTTGAAGTCTTCTTAAAACCAACAACAGCTTACCTTAACTAGTAAAAAAAACAAAAACAAAAACAAAACCCTCTGCCTTTAGCATTGTGCTCTTTCAAAATCTATGTATATAAACAGCAACTGGAAAGATTAGAATGGAAATTTAGTGGGCAGTGAGTATATGTTAATGGAGGAAGAACAGCTCTGAAAAGGAGAGTGAGAATTGTTTCCCAACTCAAAGAATGTAATCAGTGTCACTGACTTAAGTGTACATGTAGAAACTGTGAAACTGGTAATGCTTTGCTGTGTAGATTTTCAACAGCAACAAAATAAAATTTACAAAAAGAAAGAAATGGCCTAGACATTGAGAAAGAGAGCAGACAAGTATAGAAAATAATTAGATTGTGAGGAATGTCGTGACTGAAAGAACCTGGACTTCAGAGACAGATATGTGATGGAAAAATAAAGTTGGGAGTTGCAGAAAGCTTAGACATTAGTCTTGTAATGCGTAATGATGAACATCAAGTGGAAAGGGAAAATGTGGGAAGAGAGGTTTTTAAGAAGGTTTTAAGACTGGGTGGCAGAGTTAGCTGAGAATAAAGAAACTGAACTGGGACGTGGCTGCTAGTCTTGTTCAGGGATGGATGCAGGTAAGCTAAGTCAGTCCTGAGAGTCACAGAGCCAGTTTGACAGAGGAAATGCAAATTGAGTTTTGATAAAAGAAAGTGAAGGTGTGGTGGTAATTCCTCTAAAGATATGAAGACACATTAGAGCTTGAAATTAGGGCAGTGATTGGGTTTGATGAAATCAAGGTAAACATTTGTGTATGCTAGTCAAGGAAGAACAACTTTAGCTCTATATTATTCTCTTAAATCCCCTCAATGAACGTTGTGTTTTTTATTTTTGTTTTTTAAGTTTATAAAGTCATACTTCGCTGCGCCTTTGTTTCAGAACTGTTAATCAGTTCCATATGACTGTTGAGGAGGGGGGTGTGTTTCCACCATTCCAGATGAGTTCTGTGGATTGAAACACTCTTTCTAAATTCATCAAGCCCACAAGTCCTAAAGTCCACTGCAAGCTTCAGCTAACAGGCCCTTGGTGGAATGGGTGCAGTGTTAGGAAATCCAAAATCTCAGCCACTGGAACTATGAAGACAACATTCCCAACTTTAGAAGGGTTAATTTCATTCTTTTTAACCAAGAATGCCTTCCCACCCGTACCCTGTGATTTGTCATGTTGTTGTTGGTAAGTGCTGTGGAATGGGTTCTGATTCACAGTGACCCTGTATAAGGTTTCCAAGAAGCAGCTGGGGGTTTTGAATAACTAACCTTGTGGTCAGAAATCCAGTGCTTATCCTATAGTGTCACATTAGTAAGTTGTTAAGTGCCATAGAATTGGTTCCTACTTATAGTGACCCCGTATAGAGTTTCCAAGGACTGGCTGGTGGGTTTGAGCCACCAACCTTGTGATTAGCAGTCCAGTGCTTATCCTACACAGCCACACAAGGACTCTGTATAAATTTGTAGGGAATGTTTGCAGAGAGAGTCTTGCCTGAAGGCTCATAATAAAAAGCATTTAGGTATGTGTGATGAAATTGCTGATCAGTTTACAAATGGCCAAAATAACAAAACGTTGTTGAAAAATAAATGTCAGGAATATTGATCTGCAGTCCTTAGACTAGGGCTTGTAAACTTGGGACATTTTTGTGGGAACATGTTGAGTATTCTGGTTGTAGAAGATTTTTTTTTTTAAATGATATTGTGTTTTCTATTTTAAAATTAACAGGCAACAATATACAGTTCACCACTGGATAACCAACTAGTTGACAGTACATTTGTCCCCAGGCCAGCAGGTATGAGGGAAGGAAGCACATTGCCTCCGTGGGAGGCTTCTCTGCTGGAGAATGAGTTTTTCCGGGGTAAGTCTATGCATTAAATTGCCTTTGAAACTCCATTAGAAAAGTGAAACAAATAAATGCAATTTATATTAAAATGTTTAAAATATATCAAACCTGTCCTTTACTTTTCCAGTCCTCTTGTTTACCTTATTTAAAGAAGATGCCATTATATGCTAATAACACAATACTAAAAACTTTATGATTAAATAAAGTAAATATTTTCTGATCAAGACCTCATAAATACATGAATTAGTAGTAATTAGTAATAATGTGTTTATGAGGTCTTAGCATTTAACTTTATGTGAAAAGGAAATATATCTTTTGGAAATATATCTATAAAGTTTATTGTTGTCAAAAGACTTTTATTGCTTCTAAATACACCGAGTTGGAATCCAATTGTTACGAAACAATGTTGTATAACGTATAACAATGTATTTCCTGGTGTGGTGTGGTTCTGTAGGATCAGCAAACCATAAGGTCAGCGGTTCAGACCCACCAGCTGTTCCTCGTCACTACAAATCAAAATCTACTTGAGGGCACTTAACAATAACAACAACAACAATATATAACAATAAATATCAAAACAATTTTTCAAAATACCACATGCACAGGTATCTTATTAGTTTATGAGCACAGCTCACCTTTATGTGTCAAATTCAGCCTGGCCTTTGAAGAGTTCACTCTGAAGTCATTCAACAGCTTCACCTTGAGGAACTAACTCCTTTGACAAAGGCAATGACATTACTTGGACCCTATACTTTGGGACTGGTGGACTTGTCAGTGAGAAACATTCAGTAGGATGGTCAGCCAAAGGACCACAGTGAGATGGTTGCTTGCAGAGAACCTACTTTAGAGAAAAATACGCCTAGAGGAACATCTCTGTTCCAAAACTCAGGTTTTGTTTGAAGAGGAAGGCTACTGTTTATGGAATGAAACCAATGACATGGCCTCTCTGAGAAGCAGAACAGGAATTTTTCTGACCTCAATCAGAAAACTACATAGTTAATTTTGGACTCTAAGTAAACTTGGATAATTAAAAACCTAGCTATGGGGATGTTTAAGATGCTCTGGTAGCACAGTGGGTTAAAAGTTGGACTGCTAATTGCAAGGTCAGCAGTTCGAATCTTCCAGTCACTCCACAGAAGAAAAATGAGGTTTTCTAACCCCCGCAAAGATTTATAGCCTTGAAAACCTGTACAGTGTTGCTATGAGTTGGAACTGACTCGACGGTACACAATCACCACCATGGGATGTTTAACAGTATTTACATCTTGGTGATTTTACCTATATTGTTATAGTTTTCTTCATTTTTTATTATAAGCAAGTTCTTGCTTTTGTAACTAAGAAATAAAAAAATTTTAAAAAAGACTATTGAAGGGAAAAAGCAGCCGCCAATAGCTTGAGAGGGAGAACAGATTTCAAAGACGTGTTATTATCATTTGTTTAAAAGACACATTTTAACTCATGACATTGTTTTGTTTTTATCCTGTCCTATATTGTTTGGTTATTTTATTTGGAAATGTAAGTAATAAATTATTTTAAGAACTGGGGATAAATGTATGCATATATTTTTTATTATTAAAATACTTCCTAGAAGATTCCTTAGTTACAAATCCTTAGTGCTCAAGCTGAGTTCTTCTGTTGGCTGTGTAGACTTAACAGCATCAATTTACAACTAAAATATGGCAGGGAAGATCTACTACAGACCTCAGACACCCCTTTAACAAGTTTCTGTCGCATGTACATGCATAATATTTATATGCTTTTAGGTACCGATATGCCTCACTCACTTTTTTTGTTATTTTTAAATGGCAAATAATTTTAAATGACCAAAGATAGTAAACCATTTTATGTAACTCTGAAGGAAAGAGTTCTGTAGACCAAAAGTTTCTTCAGCAATTTAAATAATCTCACATATAAGTTTTATGTTGGATTTGTTTTTAATTCATGAAAATGTCTTCAATAAACAAATAAATCTATAAGCACTAGACTGTTAACTGAAAAGTTAGCAGTTCAAACCCACCAGCTTCTCTTTAGATACCTTATACAGGGTCACTTTGAGTCAGAACCAACTGGACCACACTTAACAACAACAATCATATTTGACGTCTTTTCCTAAAGAAATATCTGTTCAAATTTTAAAAGAACAATAGTCGTTTAGGGTTTTTAGGTTCCCTGAGGCTCGACTTGTTACAAATGTATTTAATAATTTTCATGTTACAATGAATTGTTGTTGTTTAATGCAGTTCCAACTCTTAGGGATTCTGTATAGGATTTCCAAGGAGCAACTGGTGAGTTTGAACCTTGAGGTTCAAACCTACCTTGCAGTCCAGTACTTATCCTACAGTGCCACACCAGGACTCATATGTGATTGTTGTTGTTAAGTGCTGTAGAATCGGCTCCAACTCATAGTGATCCTAAATAATAGGATCATAATTCAGAGATGTATCAACCACATCACTGAAAATGTACAGTATCTTCTCTGGGGTTACGGAAATGGTGGCCCTAGTAAGCATGGATCATAGGCCTCGGCTTGGCCTGGGTCCTCAGTCTGTATTATTAGGGAAGTCACTAGGCTCTGACTGGGACGCCCCCCTCTGATGTTGCTGCTCAGAGAAAAGTAAACATTGTTTATCAACAGCAGCTTCATAGCCTTGCAATCGTATGAGTGAGATCATTTTTTCAGCTCATAACAAATTTTAAAAAAGGAAGTGAAAACTAGCTTTTATAGCATGGAGGTTGCATTGCACAGGAGTTGAATGCTTAGATTTTGGAGGTAGACTACCTGAGTTCAAATTCCAGCTTTGCCACTTACTAGCTGTGAGAACTTAGCAACTTACTGAATCCCTTTGGGCCTCAATTTCCTAAATGAGGATAACAATAGTACCAACCTAAGAGGGTATGGAAACATTTAATGAGTTCATATATTGAATGCCTGACACATAAAAAGTGCTGAATCATGAAGACATAAATGGGTCTTAATGATTTTCAGGAAAAACACTCTCCCTTTAGCATGTCATGTTGTATAGAACTTTTAACTTTATGTAGTTCTCAAATTGTAAGCTTATTTATATTATGTATTAGGTATTGAGCTTCTCGAGTTAATGTGGGAATGACATGCTGTTTTCTTAACAATATAACTGAGAAGTCACATGCTTTTTACAGACTCATTTCTATTACTGTCCAGTGTAGTAAACACAGGTGGAAATAATATAGCAACCTAGTAACCTAAAAAGGAGCCCAGGCAACATAGTGGATTACATGTTGGACTGCTAATTGCTCAATCAGCAGTTATCTACCAGCTGCTCCATGGGAGAAATTTGAGGCTTTCTGCTCTAGTAAATATTTACAGCCTCAGAAACCCTATACAGGATCGCTAAGGTTGAAACCAACTCCACAGCACACAACCACCACCAGTAACCTGAAAGAAACAGAAGGATATGACTTAAAAATACTAGTGGTTGTATAGTCATTCGATGTTAGAGCAAGTACTGGAATCTCTATTAATTCCCTTCTACTATTGGATCTGTGTCTTAGAAAAACTTATTACATTTTGATGGTGGTGATGGTGTGTGCCATCAAGTCGGTTCTGACTCTCAGTGACCCTGTATAGATTTGAACTGCTGATTTAGTGGTTAGCAGCCCAGCTCTCAATCCACTACGCCACGAGGGCGCCTTTAGTACACTTGGTTGTATACTAAAACAAGTGCCATGAGTGCTGTTGAGTCAGTTAAGACTCATAGCAACCCTGTATAGGATTTCCAAGGAGTGGCTAGTGAATTTGAACTGCCAACCTCATGGTTAGCAGTTCAGTGCTGATCCTACAGCACCACACCAGGACTCACCAAAAGAAACTAATATTCAAATAAATTGCCAGAAAATTAGGCTTGAAGTCCTTAAGGCATTATGAAAGTTTTATTTTGTTAAAAGAAGCATGATCTAGTAACTTCAGTCCCACTCGTGTTAAAATCAAACTATCTTAAAAACATAATCAAAATTAATACATTGTGATATCATGATGTAAGTAAAGTAACAGATGAGAGTTTCTTGAAGAAGGTCCTTCAACAATTCAAATGAGCATTAGAGTATAAAAGTCTTAGACAAAAAAAATTGACTCACATTCTCCTTTTAGTTTTAGATGATTTGGATAGCAAACTGGCTCAGGAACAATTTCCAAGCTCACTGAATACCAGCACACCCTTCAACTATGAATCAACAACACAACTCAGTCATCTTTACTCCGGTGGGAGCAGACCTGGTAATATCACAGGAAGACACAAAAATCGCTATAATGAAACTTCCAATATGTCTATCTACGACATCCTAAGACCAGGAGCACCTAGAGAAGGTTTTAAGACCTTTTCACCAAGAACAAAAACAATTTATGATATGTATAGGACAAGGGAGCCCAGAGTCTTAAAAGAAGATTATGTTCAAAAGAATACTTTGGGTAGTTCTTCTCTGTGTTTTGACAGTAGGCAACGATCAGCCTCACGAGCCACAGGGCATTTCACAGCGAGAAGCTTACATTTTCCAGCCACAATTGAGAACAAAAGTGGATTTATACCGCAAAGTCACAGACAAAGCCCAAAGAGAATTCCTTTATCTTCCATCATCTGGAATAGATCAGATTCTTCAAGAGATGGTCAGAACCAGGAAGAGTTCCACAGGGCACCATTGCCTATGGAAATTGACCCTGCTGATCAATATACCTACCCCAGATGTTTTCAGGAGAACAAGAGATATGCATTTTACCGCTCACAGAGTGTTTACCAGAGTGTTAGTTTAAATGCCCACACGGACAATGCAATAAGTCCGGACCCATTCGAGAACTCAGAGAATATGCCATTCTACCATCAAGACAACCCATTTGCTAGGTCTTTCTTTAGCAATACTTTTGGACAAAGCAGAGAACAGATTTTTGGACAAAGCACTTTTTGGGGCCAACAGGAAGATCATTCTTCCTGGTCTGACTTTTATCAAAGCAGGAAATCATTCACTTCTTCTGACAGAGACTTTGAAATGATTTCTGTTGATGCAAATAGTGCATCAGCTGCTCATGGTCGTAGTGTCCCTTTGCATCATGGGGGATCATTTGCTCCTGGTTGTAGACCAAATATTTCCAGAGACCAAGAAGAACCATGTCCCTGGCAATTTGATTTTCAGGCATCCACACTGGAGAACATGGAGGTGTCACAAGACAGGGGAAGCCAGTTGAATCCTCAGTTCAGCACACCAAATGTTTGCCCCATGATTGATTCAAGCTGTCAGATCAAATCTGGTAGGTTGGAATGCCAGCAAGACAATTCTAGAGAAGTACACTTGAACAGAGAAGCTTACTTATTTGGAATTGCTCAGCCTTCAGCATCCCCATTCAAAACTTCCTTCCCTCAGATTCCTGATGGCAAAGGGAACACTCACAGTTCCAGTTTTCAGAATCCCACAGCCACTTTTCATGAAATTATCCCCAATAAATCTGCCTGTTCTCCAATCAGAAGCCATGCAGAAGTCATTGTGACCAACAGTGATTCAGTTGATTCTCTACCATCTGCTGAAAGCCAACCCAGCGTCTTGGTCACAGAAGAGAATAAGGAGAAGGACTTGAACGACTCTGTTTCCAAAAAGTACAAACAACTAAACAAGATGGACCAGACAGACTTGACAGGTGAAACATCACAACCGGTTTTACAGACAGTGGTCTCTTGCCCCTTACCTGATGTTCAAAATCCCCTCTCCCGGGACTCATCTGAGAATAATCAGTTTGTTTTTAATGCATCTACCACAATAAATTCAAAAAGGTCACCCAGAGTGCTTCCCAGGAAAGATATCTCTAAAATCTACATATCACACAGAGATAAAGCCAATGAGCTTAAAAAAGAAGAGAGTTTTTCTAGGAATAGAAAATTTAGTTCAGCAACATCCCCATCTTTTCTTCCGGAACGCAGAATAACTCCTTTTCTTCCTAGCCCAAATCAAGGTTGTCACCAGGAATTAACAGTAAGTAATGAAGGTATTTCAAGCATTGGTAAAAATAACCTCTGTAGCACTGAATCTACTGATAATCAAAACCCCCAGTCTCCAGAAAAGTCTATTCTTTTAGATCACAAAAGAGAAAAATGTACCATGCCCCATTCTATCAACTGCAGCAAGTTTGCGGGCAGCCACAATGTCTCAGGTAATCTGTTAAGTCTCCCACTAGGTGCATTACAAGATTCCTCAATATTGAATAGTTCTACTACAGTGTTCTCAAAGAGAAGTCCTTCAGGAAATGATCTACCTCTGGGAGAAAGAGAAGAAAATCACAGTGCTAGCAAGAACCAAAATAATCCACTTGCCATAAATCACTTAGAAAGCCAGAAGCATAATGATAATTGTGTGCCTACATATAATAAAGTGGTTGATGTTACCAAATGCCACTCACACCACCCCCTCAGAGACGGAAATGGAAAAGGAAAAATAAGACGTCGCATATCCTGTATTGAAAATTTAAGCAAACCAGAAAGTAGATCAACATTCACAAATGATGGCAGTAACCTCAATGAGGTGAATCAAGGTAATTCCAAGGCTCCTGATCGTCCCACGATTTATTGCACCTTACCAAGAAAAGCATCCAGTTTTCTCATCGGTAGCAGGAATTCAGAAAGTAGGGTAACAACTGCATCACTTAGGAATGGGCCACTTCCATTCCAAGTCAAAAATAATGTGGAGGATCCAATCAAGAAGTACACATCACAGAAATTAATTCCCAGTTCTCCTGAATCAGAAAGTGAAGGTTCCAAAGTAGTTTCAGACTCAATTCCAGTAGTGCCTGCAGCTGCACAGAGGATGACAAATTTGAAAATTACTGGGTCTGCTTCTGTTAGAAAAGGACCTCTTCCTTTCCTCATCAAGAGGGCTGTGTCATGCCCTTCAGGGGAGCCATATTCCTCAACTGGAAATGATGAGACAGCAAAAGACTCAGCTTCAGATATATATACTTCTGCTGTATCACCAAGGCCTTGGGAGAGATTCATGAACAATCTGGAAAGTGACTTACCTGTTAGGAATAAAAACCACCACCAAAAGGAATACTCTCAAGAATGTACTGAGAAGGATGATAAAACTGCAACACCCAGAGCAGGCTTAGTTTCCCTTTCCAATGAAGATCCTTTACCTTTTTCTTCAGAAGTGTCAGAGAAGGAAAGTGGGGAAACCATACGTAAGTACAAAACTACCAGCACGTTTTCTGTTTCTGGTGATGATGATAATGTAAGATGTCTTGAAGTGGTTTCAATATATTATACTATACCAAGGAAACACAGCAAAAAACTCTGTGACCTCCTTTACAAGTATACACAAAATACTAATTCACTTCCAGAATCACCCAAAGTGGGAACTGAAACATTTCCTAATGCTTCACAGAATGGCAAACAAAATCATTCTACACAAGAGCAGTCAGGAACATCTTCATCTGAAGACCAAAAGATGACCATTTCCTCTGCTCATGAGACCATCCCTTGTCTTTCTCACATCAATGAAAATGTGACTGCTTTACAATTACCAAATAGTGGGTCCTCAGAGCCTACCTTACAGGAAATGGCTTCTATTGAGGCAGATGTTTCTCTTCCAAAAGAAGTATCTAAAACTAGAGACACTTTTCCAGATAACTTTACTAAAGCACCTCTAGGTGACTCACGAAGCAGGAAAAAGAAAGGAAAGAAATCACAAAGAGAAAAATTGGAAAATTGCCAACAATCCACTAAATTGGGTAATAGCAGTCCTTCTAGCCCCCGAGCCCACTCAGAAAATAATGTTGAAAAGTCTCAAACTGTAAGAAGTTCTGAGGAGAATGTGGATGACAGTATAGTTATCACAGCTACCAGAAGTAATGTCTTTCCTAAGGAAGAAATCAGGAACGCCATAGCCATAAATGATAACTCCAATGGGTTGGAGGCTAGGGAAGTCAGAAGGGAAATTGAAACTGGTTGCCAACAAAATCCTGATAAAACACTTTCTGACACAGAAAACCAAATCCTTGCTGTTACTCTAGCTTTACATAAGCTACAATTTGATGAGGAGACATACTCAGGTAAACCAGATGCGGAAAGTTTGAAGTCTGGACCCAAAGAAATACCTCAGAGAAGTCAAGAGGTGAATATTACAGAGATCAGGAAGACTAATGATGGAATGCAAAGACTGGCATGGAGTCAGCCTTCACTACCTGAAGGGAGTAATGAAAATAAAGCCAGTTTAGATGGCCTACGAAAAGGGAAAAACAGATCTTCAACTAAACACAAAGTGGCTACTATATCCAAAGCAAGCAGAAAATTCCCAGCTAAAGATGTAAGCCCCAGAAGACATGTAGCTACTATTTTCACTAAAAATGAGAGTAGATCCAGTACTGGAGACTTAAATTCTGGCATACCAGAAAGTAACCCATTGTGCACTGAGCCCACTCCTGGGTCTGCAGAGTCCACAGATGGAAGCAGAAATTTGAGTAATGATGGAGTGGATATGGAGAAATGTGAGACCCCTCTCCAAGTTACTGTAATATCCAACAGAAAACCTTCCATACACTTAAGTAATCAGAAGTCTAACATCAGTATTTTACAACCACACTGGAATGAGTTTAACAACACCTCAGAGTCACCACCAAAAAATGAGAACTCTATGGATGTAACAGTAACTCCAACTTTGGAAAGAGAGTCAGCAATTCTGGTCCAGCCTACATTCATCCCCCTAAGGGAAGCAGAGTTCTCTGACCATCAGAGGAGGTTCAGTCCTCCTTGTCCATTGGAGCCTGCACACAATTCTCCTACAGAATGTATTCCACTGGCCAATTGTCCACAGCAACAAAGGGATGCTTCATCTTTGGGATGGAAACCTGAACCACACCTCTATCGGTCAAAGAGTTTAAAAAGCATCAATGTACATAGTGATAAGCTACGTAAAAGTCATCCTCCAAAAGTCAGGGAGCGCCATTTTTCTGAAAGCACTTCTATTGATGATGCCCTGAGTCAACTGACCCTTGGGAATGATTCCTCTATCAACAATGGGTACAGTCGTAAATTCAAATCTTTTTCTGAACTTCCCTGTGATGAAAATGAAAGTTGGACCCTTTATAGCGACAGGACCAAAATAGGACCCAAATCTGCAACATCTATATCCAGACCTATTGACTATGGGATTTTTGGAAAAGAACAACAGTTGGCTTTCTTGGAGAATGTAAAAAGGTCACTCACACAAGGAAGATTATGGAAACCAAGTTTTCTTAAGAATCCTGGCTTCCTGAAAGATGATATAATCAACCCTCCTAACCCATCAGAGACATTAAGCTCAAATTCTCCTAGCAGTCAGATGCCAGAAGATGGTTTATCTCCAACGGCACCACTTAATATCTATGAAGAGAACCCTGTGGACTCAGATTGGGACACAGACACAACCACAGATGATGAATACTACCTGGATGAAAATGACAAAGAGTCAGAACTGTGAGGGTTTGTTTTCAGTAAAACCAATAACCTTTTTACCAAAAACTTGTAATAGAAATAAAGTACTAATGTGTTTGTTCATGGGAAGGACAGATACAAAAGATCTAGTCTGGGCCATGCTTGCTCTGAAACAACTCAACTGGACCATTCTTACTCTTCACCTTCCTGAATTTTTGCACAATGAATGTTGTTTTGAGGGATTCTTTGCTGTTTCCTGTCTTTTGTATGTATATTCTTAAGGAGTCCTTGTGATACTGTAGGATAAGCACTGGACTGTTAACCACAAGGTCAGCAGCCACTCCACATGAGAAAGATAAGACTTTCTGCTTCTGTGAAGATTTACAGGACTCGATGGAGGTCGGTTTGGATTGGGTTGGTATATATATATCCTTTACCTTTATTTTTCCCCAACTTAATCTCTAATGCACTGTCCTATTTTGGCTTTCTGCTTTACTTTTTTTTATCCCCCCTAACATTTTTACACATTTCATTGCTATTTGCTGTTGTCAAGTGTCATAAAGTCAGTTCCAACTCATAATGATCCTGCATTGGGTTACTCAACCACAGAATTTGCAGTTAGCAGTGCAGTGCTTATTCTACAGTAACTCTTCATTGTGGTTTCAGCCCTAATAACCTGTAGTTGTTATTGTTAAGTGCTGTCCAGTCCGTCCCAACTCATAGTAACCCTGTATAGGGTTTTTGAGGAGTGACAGGTCGATTTAAACCACTGACCTTGCAGCTAGCAAGTGATGATCCTACAGGACTCCAAAATGAGTTGGAAAACATTGCTCCCACACATACAAAACCTAATTACCCAGCACAAAACTCTATATTACCTCATTCCACTCACACCCTATATTCACAACATTAAATAAAACGTAGAGATCATGACAATAGAGTAAATGCTATTCTGTTTTGACTCATCAACATTAGGAGGTTTAGAGGTTTTTATCCCTTCCAAACAAAGATAAGGAAATTTTTATTAAGGACATCATGTTATATTCATGGTAGAACCTGGGAGGCACATGACTGAAGTACATATTGAGTTGACAGATAAAAAGCTGAATTCCTAGCTAGCCAAAAGAACATTGAGGCCCTTAGGAATTCTTCTGAAGTAATTTGTGGGGATTGACTAAATTGTTAAGGGCTGAATTTTAATCATGCCAAGGACTTGGTTGTACTTGATGGCTGAAGCTCAGAATTTCTGCTAAAGAGGAAAACATAAAAGGGCAGGATTAAGTAAACATCGCTTCATGAGATAGATTTCGCTTTGCTGCAGGCTTTTTCAGAAATTGGTTTCACCCATTTTCCCAGAACCATTTCCTTAACTACTGTGAGGATGGTGCAGGACCAGGCAGTGTTACATTCTGTAATACAGAGGGTTGTTAGGAGTCTGAACTGACTCGACAATACCTAGCAATAACAATTCATTTCCCTAGGAGCCCTAGTGATACAGTGGTTAAGCACTTGGCTACTAACCTAAAAGGGTCGACATTTTGAGTGCACAAACTGCAGGAGGATGTAACAGTTTACGTCCATAAAGATTGCTGTTGTTAAGTGCCCTTGAGTTGGTTCCAACCCATAGCAACCCAGTATAGGGATTCCAAGGAGCGGCTGGTGAGCTAGCTGGAACTGTTGACCTTGTGGTTCAAACTGACATTGCAGTCCAGCTCATTAACCCACAGCATCATATCCTGACGTGACTCCTCCATAAAGAGTGGTCATAGCAGTGTACCATGGAACCGGTCCTGACTCATAATGACACTATATAGGGTTTCCAAGGCTGCAAATCTTTACAGGAACAAAAGTCTCATCTTCCGTCCATGGAAAGGCTGGTTGTTTCGAACTGCTGACCTTGACATTATCAACCCTACTTGTAACAATTACCTACCAGAGTTCCTTTCTACAAAGATTGGTATTGTTATTGTTGTTGTTAAGTACCGTGGAGTCCATCCCTACTCCTAGTGAGTCTGCACAGGATTTCCGAGGCTGCAAATCTTTATGGGAGCTGAAATCCTCATCTTTCTCCCGCATAAGAGCTGGTAGTTTCAAACTGCCGACCTTGAGGTTAGAAACCCGATTCTCGTAACCACTATACTACCAGAGCTTCTTAAAGATTACAGCCTAGGAAATCCCATGGGTATAGTTTCTCCCAGTCCGATAGGAAGGATCACTGTGAGTTGGAATCAACTTGATGGAACACAACAACATTCATTTCCCAATTCTCTCTATTTGTAGGACATAATACTTCTTTCCTGGTGAGGCATTTTAGTCAAAAGTATCACATGGGAGCCTGGCCAACCCCCTAAAATGAAGCCACATCTGATCTGACACCGTGAGTTTCACGGGCTGCTCTATAGCATTATTTATCAAACCTCTGGGAAATTCTAAGGCAGAGTTCCTAAAGGCTGGTCATGATTTTTTTTTCAATAGACTAATTAGCTTTTGGTACCCACTGATGACATGACTCTCCTTATTCTTCAGCCATCATGTAGAACTATTGAGAATTTCTCTTCTAATTCAGGTAAAGACCAATAGATGGTGGTCTTTTGCTAGAACTATATAACACATCCCATCCTGCATCTCAGTACTGTGAGAGGCACCATGAATGGATTTCATATTTTTGTCCATATTTGCGTTCTGACCCAATTTAGTTTTTCATGTGTCTCACCTAGTCTGTTTCATCCATATAAAGATAATGTTAGGTGTATAGAGATCTAGGACTGATAGATATCCTCCTAATCATTGCCTTGGAGTCCTGGTGTGGTGCTGTGGGTAAATGCATCAGACTACAAAGCCATTTGAACTGCAAGGTCGGCGGTTCAAGCTCACCAGCTGCTCCTCGGAAACCCTATCCAGGGTCACTATGGGTCAGAATTGACTTGACAGCACTTAACAACAACAACAATCATTGCCTTGCCTAAAAACAAAATGCCAGGGTTGGTTTACATCATTCCCATGAAACTCAAAATTAATGAAGATGCAGTAACTAACATGAAAGATGTTCCTCAAATCTGTAAACTGTTACAAACTTCAGACTGACCAATCTTGAGCTCCAAGAGACTGATGATAGAATTTTAAATCAACTCTTCTAACTTTTCAATTCAAATGTATATTGTAAAGAATAACATGTTACTCTTTGTTTTATGTATGTTTGTAAATTTCACCCTTGCCCTTTTTTTGTATTTATATGATTATTTAAGTAGATTTTCTTAAACTATGATATATGTTTTCTAAATAGGTTAAACGTATTCAAAGTTAATATTTTAACATTTAAATGCTTGGTTTTTTAATGATCCGGTTGCAAGTTCTAAAAGTATGCCACAGAAGGTGACATGAAGTTACCTTATTTTACAGTGAGTTTTGGCTGTATCAGCAGTTAGGTAAGTTAAGCTAATGCCAAACAACTGCTTTGGGGCTCAGATTTTCTGTACTGAAATCTGTTGTCTGAATTAAAATGTATATAATTGATGGTCAATGCTCAAGGGTACCATTTGTAATATTTGCTTGCTGGTCTTATTTAAGAATCAAGAAAAGAGAAAATTCAAGGAAATGGCAGCTTCTATAGTTTTATATTTTTATAAATCGCTTCGTTAAAGAAGTATAGCAGATTTCTATGTATTTTAACATATAAACTGCTGCTTTGTAATGTTCTTTTTTGTTATAGTGATAGTAATTTATAATCATTTTACAGTTATAACTTGTCTTCAAAAAGATAAAATCATTAGTGATATGAATATTTACATGAATAGCATAAATTATGATAAATCAATGTTAATAATTATTTTGTAAAATTAATTTGTATAAATAATGGACTTCTCTGACCATAACTTTACACTGTAAAATCCATTTCATGAAAATACTTGATTTTTTAGGAACAATCCCTCAGAATAATGTACCTTTACATTGTAAATACATTGGTGTTAATGAAATTCCAATTGCTACCAATAAGTGTTTGGTGGTAAAACTTCTTTGTGTATAAGATAAACCTGTGCCTGTAGTAGGCATAGAAGAAGAAAGCCCACTTTGGTTATGGTGAATATTGGGAATCAAGTTGGAAATTTCTCTGTTGAATGACAGAGGGTCAAGGAGATCTTGTTGCTAATAATATGCTGTTAATACTAGTAAGAATGTTTCAGCACATCCCAATTAAATGTACAATGTACATATGTAAATGTTTTACTGTCCAAGTAACTTTGTGGATGTATTTCTACTTAGTGGCTCTTTGTGACTTAAAGTTCTGTATTTCTGAAACAAGTAGCCTATGCACTTTTGTTCAAACTTTTATCAAATAATCTTTTTATGTACTTGTTCTCAAACCTGTTCTCTAGGTATGGGATATGTTACAAGATAGGGTGCAAATTTAAAACAATATCTGTGTTGAAATAAATGGTTTAAACAGATATACTGTCTTTAATTGTTTTTTATTCTCATTCTCAAGTGATTTTTTTTTGCTTAAAATTTGTAATATTTTATTTGCACAATACATATTCATTGTATATAAGTAAAAAGTAGATTTCACTCATTAATTATAAACCCAGCTTCTGGAGACAACTGGGCAATAACCATTATTAAACAAAGACAGTGCGGTTCTAGGATATAAAGAACTCTCACATCATTAATAAAAAGACAAAGCAATTAAAATATAGACAAGCCTTGAATAGCGAGAGACTGTAAGCCTCCCCACGCTTTGCCTGCTAGTCAACCCACTGCCACTGTGACCCTGAATGAAAGCAATCTGATAGGACAGAGAACAACTGCCCTGTGGGATTTCTGAGGCTGTAACTCTTTTTTTTTTTTTTTTATGTTTTAATTTGAGTCGGAACCGACTCCATGGCACATAACAACAACAACATTGTGAACTATGTGATAGTTTACATGGGAGAACATTAGCTTTACGTTCATCCTAGCGTATATCATTTCATTGCATGGTTACCATCCCCTCCATGCATCATCAACCAACCAAAGGATATACCCTGCAAGCCTGCCCATCTGTGGTCAGCA